TGGCAAAACATGGACAATGTTGGCCTGACAGTTCTATTGGCTTACGAATATTGGATGAACACTGGCATAAAATGGACAATATTGGCCTGTCAGTTCCATTGGGTCGCGAATATTGGATGAACACTGGTATAAAATGGGCAATCTTGGCCTGTCAGTTCCATTGGCTTGTGAATATTGGATGAATAGTGGCGTAAACCGGACAATGTTGGCCTGTCAGTTCCATTGGCTCGCGAATATTGGATGAACACTGGTATAAAATGGGCAATCTTGGCCTGTCAGTTCCATTGGCTTTCGAATATTCGATGAATACTGGCGTAAACCGGACAATGTTGCCCTTTGAGTACCCTTGGCTTGCTAACATTGGATGAACACTGGAATAAAATGGTCAACGTTGGCCTGTCCGTGCCGTTGGCTTTCCAATATTTGATGGGGACTGAAAATGGACACTGTTGGCTTGTCTGCAGCATTGGCTTGCCAATGTTGGCGAAACACGAGCTTATAATGGTTACTGTTGTCTTGTTAGTACCATTCGCTCATCGTCATTTCAAAAACACAGGAGCATATAATGGCCAAAGTGTGTTAGTCTCACAACACCACTGGCTTAATACTGGAAGCATGTTGAAATAGGCTGGTTTTGGCAAATTTCGTTTTACCTCAACAAGTTGAAATTGCTCGAGCGATTGTCAATTTAATGTTATTTTTTCAAAGCGCGATTCATGTGCTTTTCTGCAAAGTAAACAAAACAATAACAACGTACAGAACTTAATGGCGATGTTTTGCTCCTTCACTGTGCATACTAAGGAGTCGCGAGCGATATGGGCTCATCAGGACCGCCCACTGGGAAAAAAAAGAAGAAGAATCGATGTGCGCGTTATAGTCACCATAATAGATTATTATGTTGACTTTATGGTCTCGACAGAAAAGCTTCGTACCCTAACTACGGGCTTGTGGGCTGCACTTCGTGTCAGGTGAAGAACTTCTTTGCGATTGACTGGAACAATACACTATTCTGAAATGTGGTAGTACAATGACAGCTCTATGACTTTGCGGCACTACTGGTGCTACAATAAGGGCCCTAATGCCCCCTACATGGCGCCAAGGCACTGATAGCAGACGACAATGTTGGTTTGATTTAGAGTCTAGCCCCTTTTTTCCGCATTTGATTTATCACTGTCTCTTTTCAATTTTGACACTAGGCTCCGAGCTGATTTCAGAGCTTCGTGTCTGTCAGTCCTTCTCCGTCCTCTTGCTGTAGAGTTTATCATGTCTAGGCAATCTCTTCTACATTGGTTTTTGGAAACCCGGATAACAAATACCAGCAGAGAGACGAAAGAATTAGAGAGAGAGAAGTATGCAGGGGAGGGGTCGCGCCGACGGCCTCGGAACTAACGTCCCTGAACGGCTTCCCCTCCCATTTTCCCCACGCCGTCACTAATCTCTCCTTTGTGGGTGAAGTGGACTCGACGACCTTGAGGGAGGAGGACACTGCGCATTCCTAAGCTGACAGTGCCGGGGAAGCTACGCGCCGGCCGGACCAGTCATCACCTGCACCGCTCTCTGCGCGTGGTTAAGGGAGGGAGTGTGATCACGTAAATAAAAATAAACCTGAGATTGGTTCACCGAGCTTCTTAGCTTCCTCTGCACTCTCAACTTAGGGGTGATGGAGTCCAGACCGCGAAACACACGCACACAGGCACACACAAGCACACAGAAAGTGGGATCGCGAGCACCAAGGCCACACGATAAGGCAACGACTGGAAGGCGGTGGGGACGGTCTCCTCAATTTCCAACACGCGCATCCGCGAACTGCAAGTGGGCTGGTGCGCTTCGCAAATTATGGATGTTTGTTTTTTATTTATTTTTTTTTTGTGGCAGAAATAGCTTTTTTCTCTAAGGAACAAGAATGGCAAGTTAATCATGCTGATACCAGGACACCGTGGGTCCGTTTCCAGGTTGTCCGAGTGCATTTGATTGCTTAGCAGACTGCTTTTATCGGGCGAAGCGGCTCGGCATCTCCGTCATCCATGGGCAAGATCGGTGGTTCTAGAGCTCCGATCACCAGCAGCGCATTTCGTCTTAGTGCCAAGTGCGATCTTCAACATGCGGATTGCCAAGATCATGGATATTCTCTCGGCAGCGCCTACATACCGGTGATCTTCCTTTGTTGTGGGCATACATGTGACCACTAGCTTCGACGGACCGAAGACACGACGGACCGCTTTTTCTTCCATGTGAGTGACAAGGAGAGGTCCTCTTGACCATTGGGGATGGGTATTCTTGCTACGTAATGTACGTTTTGTCACTTTCCGATGAGTTTGAACCGTGTTGGACTCTGTGCCAGGGATCTCCGACGAGTTCAACGCGGAATCCACAGCGATCGGCCCGAAAGGCCCGGTACAGCGCTATTTGTAGTGCTTTTTAATCTAATAGACGGCGAGAGGCGTTCTGATTGGTTATTTCTGCGCTCGAAGTTTTTTTTATTTTATTTTCTTTGTTAAAATACGGCTGTCATTTTGGCGGTAGATGTGTGCTGCAGTAAAAAGTCCTCCAAGTATGTCCAAAGCCGAATACCACAAAGCGTTGAGTAGTGCTTATTTGACAAGGTTCGGCTTGTTGGGTGCAAGTTGAGTGTCAGCTATGTCACCGCGCTCTGCGAGTGCGATGACACGGCAAGCTATTTTATATGCGTGATTTCTTCTTGAATTCTTGATTGATTCAAGCGTAAAATTTTGTTGAACTGTCATGTTCTTACGTGTAGAAATATCGGTGTAAACTTAGATGGCGAGATTATAATCCTTAAAACTTCTTATAGCTAGATGAAAGGTTAAGGGACGCCATGATGTTGCAAGATTAGAGCTAAGCAATTGATAAAATAACCTTCGTACTATTCGAATATTTTTTTTTAAATCACTATAAATATCTGAATTTAGATCGATCGAGCTTTGAGTAAGGACAAGTCGGACCAACAAAACAGTAGTAAGCGCCTGGGCCGTCTTGCTAGAAACAGTGTCTCAGCCGAGACGGGGGAAGAGAAAGCACTGTCAAAGCCAGCGTACGACCTGAACGGGACTCAAACCTCGACTCAAGACGCTCGCGCGTTCCAGCCTTTACAGTGCTTTCTTTCACCCAGTCTGAGCTGAGACACTGATTTCAGCAAGCTGGCCCCGGTGTCTTACCTGCGCATCTATTTATTTTAGAAGGTAGTACTAAGGTTTTTATATACTAAATAATGAAAAATAATTCACTGGAAAAGAAATTAAGTGTATCATATAAAAAGGTAAACATAAAAAAGTCGGTAGGCTTTTCCGAGATTTTATACTTGAAGAGAAACTGAACCGATTAATCGAATGTTGATTAAAGGGCAGCGATTACTAATGCAGCTATGTTTTATTTTGATATTCATTATTGGCAGGCGTAAGAGAAATGAGAGCCTCTGAAACCCTTCACCTGAATCCAACCCCCGGTTCTGTCTCTTTCAGAATCCTGTGGTCATGCCCCTGTGTGGTATCCCCTTCCTTGCCCAGCCCTCTGCCCTGTCCACTACCGAGCCTGCCGCCGACCCAGCCACCGAGTCTGCCCAGGCCCCCGTGGTTGCACAATGTTCTAAATATATTTATTCGATCTAAATAAATTATGAACTGTCAAACGTTATGAACAATTCATTTGCATGCTTTAATGATTTCTAATGTGCCCAAATATGGTCAAATTGCCGCATTTATAAGATTGTAATATAAGAAAGAAAACGGTGCTTTAGGAAAAAGGGAAATATACTTGCTTGGTTCTCTGCACTGTTATTGTGACACTGGTTAGAACACTGGCTAAAAAATAGCATCTAATAATGTCATAGACAATGGATGCAAAAATTTGCCAGTGTATAAAACTGGATGCCAATGTTGGAAGAGCCAGTGTGTAAGGCGTTGGATGCCAATGTTGGTTCAGCCAACTGTGAAACTTCTATGCCAATATTGGATAAAAAAGCGGAAACCAAGTTGGTCCAACGTGGGTAAGAACGTTGGCAAACCAGTGGTCCAACATTGGCATCAATGTTGGACCACCATTGGATCGGGTAGCGTTTTCGAAAATGCCAACGTCAGACCAATATTGGAACCATTTTTTTGCCAACATTGGGCCAACAGGGGTCCAACAATGGTGTGCTGCCTGGGAGGGGATAGGACAGACTCCAACTGGATGTTCAATGCATTCATCGAGGAAGACAAAGAAAGAAATAGGACATGCGGAAGTTTTTATCCCTCTCTCGCTTTCTTTCTTTGCTAGAGTAAAGGGGTAAAGTTACATTCAATATTTAATTTATTTAATAATTCACGCGCCTATTTGAAATAAAGCGCAGGTTTTATGAAAGTGAATATTCTCGTGATTTCTTAACATCTTATTTTCTCCGTCGATTTTATATTGGCTGAAAGACGGGGACAGCGACACGGTAGCGCAAATGTAAGTGCGCCCGCAAACACAGACAAGCGAAAGTCGACCGAAGAGGGCAAACGTTGCAGTGCGGCATGCCAAAGTCAAGCATAAAGGAAAAAAAAAAAAAAGTTCCTATTATTATGACGCTAAGCATCTATATTTTTCACTCTGAAACAAAATTGTTTTAAGTGCCAAAAACCGTTTTATGTGTATATATAGAAAAAAAAAAGGCGAGGGGGAGCTTGTCTATCTTTCTGCCAAGACTACTTCATACAGCACTGCCACAGGCGCCGAGTTTGAGCGCCTCGTTTAAACGGGTTCATTTTTAACTGGGATGACCTGGGCGATAAACGACGCAGCGCTCCATTTTCGCCAGACTGCCGGGAGAGATCTATGTAGCGCATTTGAACGGGCAAATTAATCTTGCCGTCGGAGAGCAGAAATATTGAGCTGAACTACAGCGAGAGCCGCCGCCGCGTGCTGCGCTGCCGCCGCCTGCCGCTGTGCGCCTGTGCGCCCGTATGTGACGTCAGCGCTTCTCGCCCATGACGTCGACGACGACAGGTTTCGGCGACGTCACGGGTAATGGCCGTCGCTCTTTTAGGAAAAGTGTACTCATGGCGTCCAGCGTAGCGTGTTTAGCGACAGCTTTTATTTAGGAGAAACTGATTTAATTTAGAGGTAACTGGGAAACGGCGATCCGTGATTTCGCCATGCCGTTGTTTGGTAAAAAGGACTCGCAACGAAAGAAGGACAAAGAAAGTGTCAGTGTCGAGGAAAAATATGAATTCAAGGACCTCCTCGGAACGTAAGTACACCAGCCGGACCGCTCCGTTTCTGTTTTGCTTTTTTTGCCGTATGCCGCCGATGCAGGATCGGATTTGCTTGGTTGGCTAGCGGCACGCTCTTAGCTCGACAGATTCAGACCAGCTTTCTTTTATATCATTCGCAATGCCGACAGCCACCGGTTCCTCGTGGTAAATCCATGCGTCGGAATGCTGTCCGCGCGCGCTGTCTTGACAGGTATCACCCGTCGTGTCCATCTCCGGATCGGAGCGACTTGGCCCTGCATTGCCGTGCGAAGCTCACCCAAAATCTCTCGTCCTGTTCAGTCTGAATCGGGCGGACTGCATTGCACGAGAGAAATCAAAGCGAAAACCACCGTTCGTCTCGTCTCGTTTCTCTCTGATTTTTGTTATTTGTATCTTTAATTTGTTCCCGAAAAATGAATGAATCGCGCTACTGAAAACACAGATTCTGGGCGTTGGAGAAGCCGCGCTGAGGTTAGACTAGCGAAAGAGAGGTTTCTGTTGCGCAATATCCGAACGGACGTTGTGAGGATGGTTTTGATTGTACGACGCGGATTCGATGTCCGTCGGCGTGTGGTATGTAAAGATGCGCCGGGGATGCATCCGTGGAGCATCCGGCTTACGTAACAGTTGGCCATCTATTGTAACGCCGTGGATGTCGACGCTCCTGGGTAAACCCTCTGGAATGCCGAACTTCCCGTTTTGTGTAATAGCAAAAATAAATTATATAGATCAGGCGAGAACAGGGAAACTTCCGTCCACATCGCATTGGGTTTGCCGTTGTCCAGGGAAGCATCTAGGTTTACTCACACACTACAAACGTTGGCATTTGTATGTAGCCACAAATACGAACATTTGTGGAGGGTTATGTAACCGAAAATGTAAACATTTGTGCGCGCGCACCTCTCTCCCCCCTTCCCCCCGCCAAGAAAAAAAGAACCCCCCTCCCCCTGCTTTTGCCCAGAAAAAAAAAAGGCAGATTAGTAGTAAAAAAAGAATTCCAATATTTATTTCGGCTTCATTTCCTGAAACTTGGAACAGGTGCACTGTCACACGACTCAATAAATTATTGGCCACCACTGGTTTTCGAACCGAGGGTACAGAATGAGAGTTTTGCGGCGTATGTGTGGTGCTGTTTCGTCCGGGGAATATATAAGATAAAATTAGATGCATTTCGTCAGTGTGACCTTGATCTGACTCCGGGGTACAGCAGCACTGGTTCACGCTGCACGAGAAATCGAGCGAGTGCACTATGACCTGGGGTCTAGCTTTAATAGTCATTGTGCAATAGTGAGACACGAATGCACATTGGTACAACCGCTTACGACCCCTTGTGATGGAGAACACACTGGCACCATTTATTGGATAGCCATAGTTGGCATTACTGTATGCATCATTCTTTCCTTATTGACTCGAAAAGTTCTGACAATGCTGTAAACGGCTTCACAGATAGTGCAAAACTTTTGTCGCGCAAATAGTGCAAAACCTTCACTCTAGCGAAATTCACTTCCAGGGTCACCTCATAGGTGGCACCGGCATGCCAGATGCGCTAGAGCCCCTTCATGTTTTAAGAGTAGCGCAAAGTGTGTCAATGCACGAGACACGTGCAACATGCAGCAGCCCTTGGGAAGATCATGGCAGCACAGCGCAGCACTGAGCTAGGTTTCAGACGCCATGTTCTTCCCAGAAGTGACACACGGCATCTGTCTCGAGCATCTCCACAACAATGAATGGCGCCACTTTTCCAGGGATAGAGGGACTTTAAGGTGCGCCTTTAGGTCTAGTTGTCGGTGAGTAGCAACTGGTTAGGCTTCAGAGACCCCCTTGCGACATGCTCTGGCTGACATTGCCAGCACTTTACCTCCAGCTTGATGAGACCTCACGTCACTATCACCACCAAAGAAAGCAATGGATCAATTAATTTGGATTGACTCGGAAGTAAAGCATTTGTCTTGGCCGCTTTGTCTTCAGGCTGACCCGCATCAAGGCGCTTGTTTGCCTCTTTCGGCATATGGCTGTCTCGATTTGATGCGTTTTTATTAATCTGGAGCTTCTGGTTTTGGACATACATCGATCCAAGAACAATTCTTGATCTGTGAGGTTGACAACTCGTCAGGAAGGCTCTGCTACCGATACTTGTTTCCGACCTTCTCCAGTGAAAAGCGTCATTAAAAATTGATCCTGAGACTTATTTTGCTAGGGCAGTGCAAAATAAATGTATGTCCATCCATAGGTTCCTTTATAATGATATTGCCTGCCCAATTGCCAGGTGCCAGCTATCACCACGAGGTTGCATTGCTTCCCCATACAAGACAGAAAGCATAAACAATGTGAACGAAGTCACTAAGCCTCTCTCGTGCATTCTTGGTGCTATTTTTTTTACCAGTCCTTTTGCCGCATTTTAGACAGACTCGCAAAAAGAGGTGCAGGGACTCTTATGTCTTGAGACCCCAAGCAACACCCGGAAGCATAAAAAGTGACTAAAGCCCATTTTGAAGAAAGACTGCATCCCAAATTCTGCATTCTGCTACTCCAATGTATGAAGTAGGCATGGCTTTAATATGGACATTAAGAAAGGCCTATCTAGACAGGCCTGCCTTAAAACTTGTTTGAGTAAAGCCTCAGCATTTTACTGAGGCTTCACTCACAGCCCCAGCTTGGTCCGGGCCTCCCTGTCAACAAACCTGGATCAGACCATATACCCTTCCATGGCGTCTTCTGGTGCTGTTTGAGTGGCTGACCTCACGGCCCTCTCGCAGCTTGAAGTAGTGGCGAGCGCCTGGCGACAGGCACAGTACGTCATTACAAATTGTGAGCCCTGCCACAGTTAACACCATCCACACTGCATAGGGAACTTTGTATTGATTGTAACTCCAGAGGACCCTGTCCATTGCAATTGCTCTTCACCTGCTCTTTGCCTTGTCCTTGACCTCAGCAATAAAAACTTTAAGTGTTTGCTGTTGGGCATTATGTTGGGCTGTACCTACTGTCCCTTATATTTATTCACTGTTGGAAACTACATATTGTTATGGCAGAAGGCAATTCAAAGTCCTCGTTTCGTCAGGATTCGTCGTCAAGCTCTAACGGCGTCCATTCTTTCACACACCCACTATTTGGACGACAGTCTTTGCGGTGTGAGCCTTCATCTTGGAAAACACTCTTTGCGGTACGAGCGTTCATGTTCCACAACATGTTGCAGCTCACCCGCTATGAAGTATGTGTTCTGAAGTATTGGAATTACATACGTTGGGGGCGGTAGTAACAGTGCGCAGCAGACAATCATCATGTTCATTGTATGGGAGGTGGCGCCCCTGGCAATGATTATGTGAAGCAGGCGCGACAGTGCTAAAGCATGGGGGAGCCAGGAATTGGGCAGGCATTTTCAGTGTAGAGGAGGCTATGGTCCATTATTTCGTCGGAACACGTGGCATTCATTCCAAACTGTTTTGTGAAGTGTTTCTTTGTTTCTGCTGGTTACAATATCTAACGAGACCTTTTCTTTTAATTTGTGAACTGGCTTAGTTCGGTGCAACCTTGAAACGACAAAGTTCAGTAAGGACCATCGCACTGCACAGCTTCAGTTCTTGCCTTTTTAATGTGGGTCTTATCTAGCCCCATGTTGCATTGACTGATATACTTGGATAGCTGCGCAAAGTGAACGACTGGTGCAAGCAACACCATGTGAGATGAACATAATTTTGCAGTTAACTTTATGTCTTTCAGCATGTACTTTCCTAAGAAAGTAACTTTGTAGTAGACATGTAGGCTGCTACAAAGTTGCTTCTTTTGCTGGTTTGCTTGGGTCTGCTTGCTTCTCTTTCTCACATCTATGTATAGATTTAAACCTGACTGTAATGGATTCTCTACATTTCAGCTATGAATTGTCAGGGATGCTGCAAACCTGCTGAGGTTTGAGTCCAAACAGGTTTGACTTTTTCAAACTTGTAGCACAAAGTATAACAGAATTTCGACTGTAGTTGAACCTTTTTGCGCATGCGCAGAAACTCAGAATGAGCTGACACCACCTGTTGGGGAGGATTACTAAGTAAATAATTAAAAACTTGTATGTTTTCTTTTATACTGTATAAACAGGAGTAAGAATTTTCTGGAATTCTAAAGAATCTATTGTATATAATATTTTTTTTTTCAAAAATCAAAATATTTTGTGAAGACGAGCAACGCCGTTCAAAAGCCAAGCTTTGTTGGATTTTGCCAAACGTTTGAAGATTCGACCCTGAGGTTTGACAAAACATTCCAACATCCCTGGTGGTTGTCAGCTGTAGATCTCATCGCCGTAACTTGGTGGGTCAAAACGAGCGAAAAGTGAAACCATATAATACGGCAATAGACCGATCTCCCAGCCACTTTTATTACGCCACCACTGCCGCCATCCATTGTCAAAACTGTCGTCTTTCTGCGACAGCCCCACCGAGGGCCTGCGCGAGCAGAGCACGGGGCGGCACGAGCTATCTTGTGAGCTGGCGGCTGCCTCCTACAAACTACAGTTGTGGCGGGGCCACACATGCGTGGTATGCTTAGCTAGATTGGTCTATTGAGCCGGATCGTTATCACACTGGAGCATAATGTTCTAGGGTCACGCCAGGGCGCACCTTTGAAAGATGGGAAAATGTTGGGAATTAGTGGGGACTTTTAAAAAATCTGGAAAAGAAAAAAAAAAAAATTTGTCGTTGATTTTGATGAAAAAGTAATGGGACACAGAAATATTGCATTGAAATGAGTTTTAATCTGGCATTCTTTATTTAACACACACATGTGAAGGATATTGCCTTATTGGTTTTGAAGTTGGTCACAACTGTGTTTATCAGTGAAGAGTCGTACGGATGCCAGTAACAGATGCTCCAACTGCTAGCCAAGCATATTTCAACATCCAAGGAGTTGTCTTAGAAAAACTTGCCACTGCATCATTTTCATTTTTGATGGGTATTAAGATTATTAGTTATATGACATGGAGAAATGTGTTAAGAGTGTAAAACGAAAT